GGGAAAAGCAGAGTTGGGAGCGGGCGACACGCACAACAGCCGCCAGCCCCGCGGCCGCCCTGCCTTCGAGGGCTCATTTTTGCCAGTTTTCTTTTTCGCCTTGAAACATTATTTTACATACACGAGCACAACCCAGGTCACAAAGGCTGAAAAAAGAAGAGAATAAATAATACGCTCCAGCAATAGCCCTATGCTCGAGCAATCCCTCATTCCAGATACGTTTGCCAGCTCTCTATGGGAATGCCTTTTTTCCACCACTGTACAGCATAGCCAGAGCAGCCTCGCCACATGCCGCTCTCCAAATACACCCAAAATCTGAGCGAGCTCCTCACGCCGAGGGGGCCACCAGCTGGACCCAGGCGATCTCCGGGAGCTCCGGCCAGGCGGCAGGCCCCAGATCACCTCCAGAAAGGCAGACGCCTAGTCCCACAGCATGCAGAGAGCCCGGCAGGTAGAGAACTGTCCCCAGATCACGGGCAAACCGGGGGAAGGCCCGAGGGCTCCCTGGCTCTGCAAGGCGGCCGTGCCCACCGAGGGCTCGGCCCCGCTGCGACAGGGGTCTCAGCGCGACCTCTGCTCCACGCCGCTGAGGGTCTCGATGCGGGGAGCCCCGCAGCACGGGCTGCCCCCAGGGCCCTGCTCCTTGCCTCCTGCACCCTGCTCCCTTCGCCCTGCTCCCCGCACCCTGCCCTCCGCCCCACCACCACCGGCGCTGACCCTCCTGCATCCTCCGGCCCCCCAGAGCATGCGAGGGCTGCCCAAGGGGCTTCCTCACCCCAGCCCAGCTTGCCCTTTCTAAAAAGCAAAAGACCAAAGCCAAGCAGATAAGATGAAACTCATTCCCCCTTTTCCTCCCTTTATCTTTTTTCTGTTCTTTGTACAATATGGTGGGTTTTGTCTTGGTGCCTCGCCTGCAAGCCATCTCAGACGCCACACGTTGGTTGCAGCAGATAGACCCTCGCGAGCTATCACCAGAAATCAAGGCACAAACCCACCACTCCCTTCTTTTGTAGATAACTTTCGAGCCCCTTCGATTCTGATGCAACACATGAACAACCTCCTAAAAACGATGCCTGCGCAGTTAAAATGGCTCCTGTGTCACTTACCACCCCGAGCTTGCAGCAGAGCAGGGCAGGGACCCGTTTGGATTGTGCCCCCAGGTTTCTCATCGCCTATCTCCTCAGGAAAGATGGCTCTGGGAACCTATGGAGCTTCATTTTCTTTCCCGTTCAAACACTAATAACGCCTTAGCCAGAACCCTTCACCTTCCTTTCAATGCAGCAAGCCTAGCACCAGTTAAATTTTGGCGCAGGAGCCAACCGGTTTCAACTAATTCAAGTTCAAAGACATGGCGACGATTTGTTAATACTAAGCCCTTTTAGGAAACAGTCCCTTAAAGAGCAATCTAATTTGGAGAATGTGAGACCAATACCATAGCAGAGACCCCGCTGGAATAAGGCAGAGCTGAGGGTCCCTGTCTGCCACAGCATTTTCATCCTGGGGTCGGTTCCCAGCCCAGCTCTGAGCATTACATATATGCCCCCCTTTTTCTTTCCCCTTCAAGCAGATTAGACAGCATAGAAACATAAATGCACATCATGTCCACAGTCAGGCGAATACTTTACCGTTAGGCGTCTTGAAACATCTGCAGCCGTTGCCTGGAATTACCAAGGATTCAGGTCCAAGTGACATTTCCAAAAGCCTTCCTTGAAAATCAAGGCGACTCGCATAACATTCGGGTTTGAAAAATCCACCCAGTCCGGCTGGAGAAGATGCGGTGTTTTGTGCCACCCAAGATAAGACACTAACTTGACCTTAACTTTGTTATGGCGCCCCTAGTATCTGGAGAACGTGAACAGACACTGTCTGGCAGCTCTCGTAAAAACCGACTGGAGAAGAGATTCTGAGTCATTTCATTTATTGCCACTACAGTTCTGCAAGAAAGCTTTTCCTCCCTGCCAAACTTTAATTATTTATGCTCTTTTAGGAAGCACAAAGGCATCCAGAGCCATTCCCAACAAGCCGAGTTGCGTTTGCAGCCTTATCAAAAGAGGAGGAATGGAGAGTCCCCTCGGAAGGGCTTTATCACGTTAGGGCTGCGGTCGGAATGCAAAGATGTTTATGTTGGAATAAATAAAGGGATGGATGGCCGCCTGCATGCTGGGGGGGGACGACGCGGCCGTGGGTCCCGCAAGCGGGGGCCCGCTGCTCCCCCCCTTCCCGCACCGCACCCCATGTACCCGCAAAGCAGGGACGGGGGGAAAGGACACCCGAAATAATCCAGCCGGAGGGCGGGGGGTACATCCACCTCACTTGGGCGCATCTCCTGCAAGCCCTCCCAGCCAGCGCGCCGCACACGCGTGTGCGCACACATGTGCCCACAGGGCGGGTGAGGCGGGTGCGCGCAGGCAGAGCCGCACAGGCAGCGCGCATTCTGTGTTTGCAGCTCTGCCACGCGTGTGCGTGTGTGTGTGTGTGCAGTTGTGTGTCGTCGCCTGCTGTTCCAGAGGAACGGCTGAAACCTGGGGCATGGGCACGCGTGAAATCATGCACGATTTTCTACCGCCTGTGTGTCTGTGAACAGTTTTAGCCCACAGATATGCACGTCTGCGTGTGTGTGTATGTGCACACACGGTTGCACACAACGGGCGCTGCTGAAATATGTGCCTCTCTATATACAGGCACATACAGAGATACATAACACACGTACTTTAGCATCACATCACAATTTAGTTCCTACCTCTTCTGATTTTGGTCCTTCCGTAGGCGATTTTAGGCTGGAAGCTCTACAATCAGCCATCATCGTAGGTCAAATACGTTTGATAAACAGTACATCGCCTTTCACATCTTTTCGCCCGAGGACCTTCTTCGGATTTCACATCACCCATGTAATAAAGGGACTGGTTGTACTGGGGCTGGTTAGGATAGGGAATGACGGCATAAAGGGTCCATTTCTCATGGACTGTAGCCGAATGAATGTATTTCAAGGAGAGAGTAAGAAAAGAGGCTTTATCTGTAGATCTGTGGTTTGGTTGTGGGTTTTTTTTGTTTGTTTGTTTGTTGTTTTTTTTTTTTTTTGCTTTTCTCCTGGCTTGCACCATTGAGCTTGCTTCTAGTTTTTTAATTAGGGAAACACTACAGAATGAAGAGACTTCCATTGTCCGCAATGCACCATCTCCCATTACGGGGCTGGACGTCTCGACGACTTGGAGGGACCCAGGGGTGGTGCCTCAGGTTGTGGATGCCCAGGTGCTCACCTCGGCCCTCAGGGAGCTCCCACCCTGCGCTGCCGCACCCCTGCTTTCCCCTGGCAGCAACCCCGTCAAGGCTAGGCAAGGTTTTGTCTGAAATGGGCAATGCGGCAAGGGTAGCCGTTCTGGACGGCGAGAAATGCCGCCTCCGAGATGGGCTGGGTTTCATTTTCCCTCCCAAAACACCACCCGAACATTACCTTTGGGGATCCCTGAAAGCTTTTGGGAAGATGGCTGTATCTCTGCCCGCTTAGGGATCCAAAATCATGTGTCCCTCAGTGCCCTTGCGAGCAGACATCGCAAGAAAATGAGTGGGTAGGAACGAAGTTCAAATATACCCTTTTATGAAATAATGAGTTTATTGCCTTCAGGAAGGCAATCGCCCAGTGTAAATAGGTAGCTGCATTGTGCCATTCCTTCTGGTTATTTAGCCTTGTGTACGCCCAGCACAGCCATATCTGAGCTTACATTATAGACCAGAAAATAACGCAGGCTCTGCCAGCGTTATTATCATTAGTGTTGCGGGAGACAACCCAAGATTTTGCGTGTGGAAACGCCTCTTCATTAGAAACAGATTTATGTGGAAATTGAGGCCAAAAGGAGTTTTAATCCGGCCCTAAAAATCCGTGATTTTTTAAATTATTATTATTTTTATTTATTTTCTGAAGTACCAGACCAAGGCAATAACAACCGCATTTCCCCCAGCTCTGCAGCTCCTGCCAGCCTGGCTCCTCTGGTGCTGCAGAACCTGGTGGCTCCCGGCAGAGAAAGTCTGTCAGCAAGATGCGGGAAAAAAAATCGATTACCTTCTCGTCCTAAACCAATAATCAAACGGCTTGGGCAATGCTCCCAGCCCCTTCTGGTTGGGTTATCCTCTGAGGTTTATATCTGGGGGAAAAAAATGAAAGCGGTCTCCCCTTTCCCTCATAAAAGACTCTGCTGAAACGGCCATGGGGACCGTCCCTCAAGATAATCAAACGCACCAAACCCTCCTGGCTCTCCTCTCTCCTGCGCCGGCAGCACCTCGGGGTGAGAGGCTGTCGCCGGCTCTTCGCAGCACTGCCTCAGCCCAGTCCCCGACCCCAGCCCTCCACGGCCTCAACACCACCCGCTCTCCCTCCTCCTGTTTGTGGCAGCGCTTGGGCAAGGCCAAAGTCAGCGGCGCTGAAAGGGCAGGGCCCGGCCTGGCCCGGCCACCTGGGGCGACACCGGCGACGACGCCTCGGAGGCTGCCTGCTCCGGGCCCTGCTGCCCCTCCTCCTCCGCGGTACGTCGCGCTCCCCCGGTGTCCGTCTGGCGCACGACGGGGGCAGCGGAGAGCATCTTCCCAAGGGGGAGCCGGTCCTCTGTACCCGGGAAATGGAGCAGCAGCAACTCCCCCCATCCCCAGCCCGCACGCAGGCTCCCCTCCACCCATTACCCAGGCCCGTGCCCTTGCCGTCGGGCAAGCGTGAGCGGATGCCACCGCGGAGCCGGCGCGCAGGTTACGCTCTGGCCTTGCGTGGGTGTCACGTGCCCTCTCTGCCAGGCTGCTGCCGGATCTGGAGCTCCGAGCAGAGGGTGGAAGGAAAAAAAGGAAAAAGGAAACAAGAAAAAGGTTTATTTGCCAACCACTTTCCCCATCGCTGCTCGAGCAGGTTACTCCAAACCACAAAACAAGACGGCGCCGCAGGCTTGCCCTGGCGTGCAGAGCAGCAGATGAAAGGAGCGGCCAGGATTCACAGAGCTGACGTCTTTACTAGGCGTTATTCCTTTATTTTTGCTGCAAAATGGTGTTTACATACAGACAGAAGAAATCGATTTTAGTTTAGCACCACTCGTTCTCCGAGGAAAGAGAGGGTAAGAAGCATGAGGAACTATATATAAATGGAGAAAGAAAGGTTAAAAGCTGATAATACAGGTTTCCATGCTGGTCCGGCTTGTCTTCTTTGTTTTGGCTAAGAACTCAGCGCCTGCCAATTTACGAAGGGATCCTACGCATTTCGAGAACTTGGTTTAAACGGTAAAAACAAAAGCAACCCACAAACCGCAGTCCCCGCGTTTGACTCACGAATACGCTCTATTCTAGGGGTGAACACTCCGGGCACAAGTTCATGCAGAAACGGGCAGACTCTGCTCTAGTACATAGAAAGCGCCTGCTCTCGCATTACTACTCTTTTCTTTTTCATCCGCCGGTTCTGAAACCAAATTTTAACTTGCTGATCGCTTAAATTCAGTCTGTTTGATAGTTCTTTCCTCTTCTGTCGGTTAATAAACTCATTGAGGAGAAACTCGTTTTCCAATTCAGCAATTTGTTGTTTTGTGTAAGGTTTCCGTTTCTTTCTTGATCTCCCCTGGGTGGGGCACCAAGGCAAACCTACAACAAACACGTCGATAATTTAGTGGATCAGGTCTGGGCATTAGAAAGAATATGCAAAAAAAAAAAAACAAAAAACAAACAAAAAACAAACAAAAAACAACCAAAACCAAACCACCCGCAAGATAACAGGGCTAAACTAGGTCGGCAAATCTGGCAAAGCCCATCTGACAGCGCAATTGCTATCTACATCCGAGTCGGATTAAGCGATTATCGCTCCGAATGGGTTACGGGGGGGTTACAGAGCAATTACAGGCATCTCCTAGAAAGCAAGTATCGCTAGCTCTCTTCTAGCTAAAGAGAGATATTTAAGGCATACCATCCTGCACTGAAGGTCTGAGGCATGACTGGACTGCTGCGGGCTGAACTGTCAGGTTCAAGTTGACGGAATTCTTGATGTCCTCCTTTAAGCTGGAAGTGCAGGAATTCACTTCAAAAAGAGCAGCCGAGCCATGCAAACCCCTCTGCAGGCTCGAGTGGTCATACTTTACGGGCTTTAAGTTGGCTGCGTGAGTAACAGTTGGGTCATTTGCAAAAGATTGCCTTTGCCTGCATCTCTCCTCTTGTTTGGAGCTCGCATCATGGGCGTAATATTTATTGTTGTCTTCCAGGCACTCTTTGTTGCCGTTGGAGCTGATGTTGATTGGAACGGAGCCGGGGAGGTAAGGCTGCGCCGCGCCGCCGAACGCGTGGCTCTGCGGCTGGGCTGCGCACGAACTTGAGCAAGTCCAGGGGATCGAGCTCCGGGGGTAGGAAATGGTGGGCAGAGCCGCCAATTGACTGCCATTAGCCCGCAAATTGGGAAAATAAAAGGAATCTGGAGATTGCAAATTCAAGAGAGAACCAACGTAGCCAGATCTGTAGAGACTGCGATCACACATTTCCAACAAAGGACTTCAGCTGTTCTTACAGCAGTATTTAGTTACAACAGGGAATAAGCGGAAAGCCTGAAACGATTGGACGAAACTTTGCAGACAGGTTCTTCAAAGCCGGTAATTTCAGCACCGCCTCCAGCCACCGAGCCACAGAGTCCCCCCTTTTTTTTTCCCCGTCTCTTTTTTTTTCTCCCCCTTTTAAGAAGTCTTATGATAACACTTGAAATATGAAAATACCGAGCTCGCAAGGGGGAGGGGAGAACATGGTCTCCGCTTCTATAAAAGTGGCCGGGGCTGGCTGACAAAGCTGCGGAGCTAGCGAGATAAGGGGAAACTAAACATTTACAGAGTTGCCGAGGGGACAGGGCAGTCCCCGGCGCAGCCCTTGCCTGGCGGAGCCCCTCCAGATCAGGCAGACCCCCTCCAGGGCCTGGCAGCACCCCCCGGTCTGGAGTTCCCGAAGGCCTGGGCAGCTGCTGGGGCGAAAACTATCACCGCGATAGAAGTGTGCTCAGCGGGCTCGGAATAACTTACGTTTGTCTCCTTTCCAGTATATGCGAGTGCTTAGGACACACGAATGTGTTTCTGTTTCTGTGCAGATGAGCACACCTTGTGCCTCTGTGTGTGTGTGTCTGTGCTCAGAATACGCATTATGTCCGCTTTATATACGCGTTTGTTTTAATTGCAAGCAACATGATATGCATCTGCATATGCTTGCAATTAAATTAATTGTTCGGACATTGCCATGATCGTCATTCTGGTACACTAATGACTAGTATTTTCTTAGGTACGCAAGTCTGCCCTTTTTACCCTTTTTACCTTTCATCTTCACTCTAAAGAGAAGGCAAGACTTTAAACTACACCTCTAAATCCCGAAGTTTATTCTGTCTTTAAAACACAAACAAAAAAACACCAACAGACTGAGAATAACATCAGCAGCAACACGGAATTACGTGAGGGAGCCGCCGAGATAAACAGACAAACGAACATTCAAACAGAATGGAAAGACTGCAAAAAAGAAACTGGCCGGTTCTGCTCTGCAAGCAGAGGATGGGAGCGTAGCGGTGGGCAGAGCAGAGTCAGATCGGCTGGGTACCCCGCTGCTATCTCCCAAGCTGCGTATGAGGAATTTTTCTCCCCTGAAGAGAAAATTATATCCCTTACGGTGTTATTACGGTGCTGTTTTGGGGAGCTTATACATATTTTTACATTTTGAAGAGATCAAACAACAGCCCAGTTATTCCGCTATTTCTCCCATTTTCCCCTTTACACCGGAGTAAGTACAAATAAAATCATATTTGAGAGTATCCTCCCAGGATGTTGTTCGTGTCCTTTCCCAGACCATGAGGATCGGCAGGCGGTGTTCTCCCCACAGAGATAAGCCGAGGCTCAGTGTGCTTCACCCAAAGGCCCCCGAAGGAGACAAGCCACTGGGCTACTCGGGGAGCAGCACCCTGCCGGAGCCCAACAGAGACCCGCGTTCCTGAACACCTTTCGGTGCCGCCGCCCCAGGGCGCCTTTGGAGGCCCATTCGTCACCCGGACCGGGCCTTTCTGTCCCCGGCCTCTTTTCCAATAGGATTTCCCCTAGTTTGAGCGAGCCCATCTTCAACAGTCTTAATGCCCGGATTTAGCCACTTTCATTACCTCCGTTAAAAACCTGAACCTAGTTAACAGGTAGGGTTAATTTTCCGTGTTATTGTCCTCTTAATCATAGTTTTAATATTGGTTTTATTTCTACTCCGAGATCAGAGACGCTTGCCCCTCTTGACATTCTCCTAATCAAATTCATCTTTCTATTTAATGGGAAATTGGGGTAAATTCTGCAGTAATTTCATTGCCCTGGAAGAAAGCTTTAAATGATTGCTCCCTCCTAGACCACACAGGACCACACAAGCACCGCTGGAAGATATTACTGACCACTGCCTTTAATTTTTATTGTTTGAGTTATGTCTACCAATTGAATCTCCCTCTTATTAGCTTAGTTGTTTTCTGCTTTTTTTTTTTTCCTCCCCATGAGAATGGGCAATAGTTTATTTTCATAATCGCCTTTTACGAAAAAAGCTGACTCTGATTTTCGCTTCTCAGAAAACAGAAGGAACTTTTTGTGCTCAAAGACTATATTTTTTTTCAGCCCTCAATAAACACAGGGAATGGATGTGAGTTCCCAGTTACCGGAAAGAAAGGTGACACTTCAAACTAACTTTTATGGGGTTAGAGAAAACAGAGCTTTCAATTAATGCTCAACTCATCTGTAATTGCTAATTAATACCGCGAAAAAAAATATGAAAAGAAAAATCGGGAGTAGCTGGAGACACTCACAGCTGCGGAAAGTGATGTTTATGTTTAAATCTGCAGGGAAAAGCACTGACAGAAACATCTCGTTGCAGGGGCGGCTGGCCACTCCGCGGGGCGGAGAGCCTCGAACGGACTGGTGCTGTTTTTTCCAGCCCCAGCCGGCTTCTGGTTTGGGGGGCGGCGATAGAATGCCGCGGGTGTCCCCCTGCCTGTGTCTGTACAGGAAATATCACCGCTGAGGAACAGAGCGACCCGGAGGGCTGCTTTCACACGCTCCTTTCCGCTCTTTAGTTTTTTTTTTTAAGTAGGCAACCGGATCGCCTAAACATCAGAGCTGACCACACGCTATGATTTCACTGGCATACATGTTCTTCAAGCTTACAGATGAAGGTTGCTCTGCGTGTGACCGAGTAGTCTCCCTCGCTCGTTTATCACTCGAAAACGCAGCTCCTGAAGAGAGGCTAAGGCTTCCACTGTCTATGCCCGGGGTTGTCCAGGAGATGGCAGGATTGCCTCAGACATGGCTGGGAAATAGCGCTGCCTGGCAGGAGCCAAGCAAGCTCCATGGTGGCTGCGGTGCAGGCGAGGCGGCCGGCCTGCAATGCATCATCGTGCCACTGCGCATTTGCAAGCCACTTTGTCGAGGTTCATATCAATTATCTGTACTAATGCGCGCTACATTTCCGGCGAAGCATTATGCCCTTCTGTCTAAACACGGCCGGCTGTGCCCGGCTGCAGCTGCGGCTGCGCGGAGGTTCCGCGTCCGCGTTGGGTGAAGCGCCGAGCACCACGGCCCTGCCGGGTCCGTGAGCGCTTGGAAGAGCCCAGGTTGCCGGCACAGGAGCTTTGAATAATTCTTGTCAATGGCCCCGCTCCAGGCTTGAAAAAGTCTTTCAATCTGCACTGTTAGGTGGACGGCTGCTGTGTCCAGTGCCGCAGCCCTGGCCTCCCCTTCCTCCCGGCTGTGGCTGCTGGTTTCTTAACGTTTCTGCACGTTGTTACAAGACTAAAGGTCCTCTCCATCTGGTACCCATTTGCCAGCCAGTTCGTGTTTCCTCTTGCCCTGGAAAGGGAGCTTTGGCCTTGGCAAAGCTGCGTCGTCTGAAAGCCCGGAGTCCAGCAAAGCCAAAGGTTAAGCCTGGAAGGAGGAAGGGAACAGCCCATGAAGGCTCCGCTGCCGGGAAATACAACAGCTCTGGCAGTGCCCGGCCAGAGGGAGACTCCTCGGAAGGAAAAATTACTCCGGAATTAATAGGACTGAAGTAGGGAGGATGGGGAGGTGTCAAGGAAAGGGAGAAAGAAGAATTTAAAATATTCAAGGAAAACAAATCTGCACCAGCAGAGAAGGCCGTTCCAGATACCTAAATGATGTGTCCCACAAGTATCCTCTGTTCCCAGAATCAAACAAAAATGCATATTGCGATAAAATCTGAAATGCTCCGTGATGGATTTTTTCCCCATCCGTTCGGGGAAAATAAACGTTTCAAAACCCGTGAATGTGCAAGCGGAAGGGAAAGGGGAAGGAAGAGGTTGGAGGAGGCAGAAGATAACCCCCACTGGAGCCATTCGGTTGCGGAGCCAACGGAGGGGTACCGAATTGGGCCGGCCGCTCCTGCCGCTGAGGAGCCCCGCCGGAGCACCGGCAAAGGGCAGCTTGGAAGGGGAAACTGAGGGGCGCTAGGCCGCTCTAGGCACCGGGCAGGCAGAGCCGGACTCGGAGGAGAGGGAAAGACAGACACCCCGTTGCCTCCCACCTCGGATATTTTCCACCGGCAAGTACTTCTTTCTTCCCAATACCATTCCCCGGTGGAAAGGCGAGCCCGGACACGCCTTTCCCTACTTCAGCGTGCTTTGCACCGTATCTAACTCTCCTTTCCCAAGAACCGCGGTCTTTAAGTGGTCCTGGAAAGATCCCAGGCAAACTTGGAAGCCGATAAACGCCGTGCTGCAAGAAGAAGGCGAATTTTGTACTCTCGTTTATATATATATCGAAAAGAAATAATTTTATTAAAGACGGTTCAGAAACAGTTTGGCAACATTGTTAACAGCTTGGAACGGCCAATAATCCTAACACAAAGTAAAAGCAGACTTGAAGACAAGAAAAGATATGGTTTATGGAGAAAGAGTCTTACCGTAGGTCTTACACACATACACTGGTAATCAAAGTGTTTAGAGCAATAGCATATTAAAATAAATAATACTAGTTCGGAACACACACATTTTAATAATTAGACGAGGCACATTAGCAGAGAGATACTGCTTCTCTCTCTTAGTAGTTGACTAGCATGTCTGATCACCCTGTGTATATCTTAACATGCACACTAGGTTTAAAATAATAAAAACCCGACGAAATACTGGCCTTTCGGCCTATATAAATTACGGCATCTTTTGAAATCCCTTATTTATTGCTTCTGTCATTAACACCCGTTTAGTTTTGTAAATTAAAAGTTAGCGGTGCACTTCACTTCTCCGACCAGGAGTTTGTTTTGTTTTTTTTTTTGTTTGTTTGTTTTGTTATTTTAATTTTTAAGAGCCATGGCAGAAGAAAGGGGAAGAATCTTGCGCTGGTCCGGTCAAATAAGCTAGAGCGGGCACTTTACACAGAGGCTGCGCAGGTTTATACACTGCAGGACAAACCGGCCCGTCAGTCCCGGGAAAAGAAAGCGCTTTCCTGAGGTGCTCCCACCAGCTCTTCCGAGGAGCGCCTGGACACGAATAGCTGGGAACAGCCTGCTCCTTTGGAAGCCGGGGAATATGAACTATATGAAACACTTCTATTGAAAACGGAACGGCAGGGAACCACACACACACAAAAAAATCAAAACAAAACAAAAACCCCCAACCCAAAAAACACCCCCCAAAAAAGCTCAAACAAACCAAAACCCTAAACCACAAACAACCCCCCTCCAAAAAAAAACAACAAACCCACACCCCCCCAAAAAAAAACAAACCCCAAACACACAAAAAGGCCACACTCTAAGAAAACCCAAAACAAACAAAACCCGGCCTCAACCAAACCCAAACCTACGGAAGCAGGAAGCGCGGTGGGAGATGCCCGGCACTGTGCTTTTCGCCCCACACCAGCTCGGAGATACTCTCCTTCCCTCGAAAAAGACAAAACCTAGCTCCAGGCGTTACCCCTCCATGCAATTTGGAATTCTCTCTGGGTTCCGGGGCGCTCGGCGGGTTTTGGCAGCAGCCGGGTGCAGCCACGGGTCCGGACTTCGGATTCCTTGCGTTTTCCAATTGATTTTTTTCGGTGTGTTTTGAAGTTTACGATACCGAATCAAAACTGACACTTTTTGGCACTAACTGTTGCTCAGAAAAAAAAATAATACAGAACCCCCCAAAGAGTTAAGCATTTAAGAAATTTATAACTGCAACTGTTCAACGTATTTAAATTCCTTTATACTGGCCTAGAGGGAAGAACAGAAAATATAATTAATATTATTGTTTTCAAAAGGAAGAAACAGAACTATAATTCAAGACTTGTCAGCACTCCCTTCCACTGAGAGAAAAACGCTGACTTTCATGGAAAACAATTCCCGAAATTTCACCACCGCTGGAAGGAGAAAAAAAAAATTAAATATATTTTCAAGTCTTTCCAAAAGTCTTTAGCTGGTCGTAAATTGAGTTTATATATCCACCACTGTCCGCAACTAATAGATCAAGATACATTGTCTTTGAGTTTGGAGACTATTTTCTTATCCTTCACCCTTCTGTTCTGAAACCAAATGGTAACTTGTCTCTCAGACAGGTTTGTGGCTGCTGATATCCTTCGCCTCTTGTCCTTGTTAATGAACTTGTTAATGGCATATTCATTCTCGAGTTCTTTAAGCTGCAGTTTTGTGTATGGCACTCGCTTCTTTCTCCCACGCCGGTAGACACACATATCGGGCTGGTTTAGTGCAACGTCCCCTATGGTAAAAGACATTATGTGAAAAATTAGAATTTTATTACAGGCTTTTAAACCTTAACCAGTACTTGTTGGGCACTGGTTTCACGGGCAAATAAATAATGCGGAGTTGTTTACAGTTTATTATTATTTACACTGCCACATTATTTGCGCGTTAGTAAAGCACTACGACCTTGATGGACTGTCATCACTTTGCAGGCATGCATCGCTAGGGAACGTGCAGAACGTCGGGGGCTTTCTTTGGCCGGGGGGCCGAGGACAGGTCGTAGCTGGCAGCGCGCACACAACTCTCTTTGGTGTGTGTTTCCCGGGTTTGTTTGCATGTGGTTTGTGCCTCTGTGCACTCATTACTTCCAGCCTCTTAAGTGCTCTGGGGCCGTGTCAGTGGCCGGCCGGAGAGGCAGAGGACTGCAAGCCTTCGCGCACCGTCCTGCAAGCTGCTAACGCGAAAACAAAAGCAGCCGCCGAGGGAAGAGGCAGCAGGAGAAGGAGCCCGCGGCCGCCCTGGTGCCCCCGGGACGGGGACCGGGACCCTGGCGCTGGGCGGCGGGGGGGCTCCAGGGTCTGTCCCGCGGGGCGGAAAGCAGAGGGTGAGGTTTCCTCGGGGGTGGGGGAAGGAAAAAGGAAAATCCACCGTCCCCCCCGTCTCTCCTCTCTGTGCCTGTGCGGCGTGTCCACCTCGGCAGTCCGCCCCTGCGGCCCGAGGGGCGGGGGAGGGGACTGGCAGGCGGAGGAGGCGTGGGGGGGGGGTGCAGGTCAGACCATTTCTCTCCCTCTCGTACCTGGAAAGGACGATTTCCAAAAGTGTGAGCTCTGTGTCTGATCTTTGGCACAGTAAACCTGACTATTCCAGCCATTAGCCAGAGTCCAAGACTGATAGCCCTCCATTGAAATGTATGTTTCGTGTCTCGGTTCCCCAGAGCCAAACGTTGAGACCATGTCTATGTACCCAGGAACGTGCTGGTAGGGGGTTGTATAGCCCTGGTAGAAGGACACTTCCTTCGCCCTGGAGGAGACTTCATTGGCTGGGACACTCGTGCTGGTCAGACTGGAGACGTCCATGTACTTTTCCACAGGAAAGCCGCCAATGGAGGCATGGGGGGGAGACTTCAGGGCGTTTTGCTGGATCCCAACCCCGTGGGACATCCTGCAGCTATAGTATCCATTGCCAAAGTGATACCCATAGCCGAGCGCAGGGGCGGTGGCCGGCGCGGCGGAGCCTGGGCAGTCCTTGGCCGGGGGGTCGGGCCTCGCCGCCGCCCCCGAGCGCTCCCCTCCGCCGGCGTAGGCGAACCCCGAGGCGGCGGCGGCGGCAGCGGCGGCGGCGGCCGCTCGACCCGTGTGCGCAGCCCCGAAAACGGGCGAGGAGAGAAAATTACGGCACTGCCCTGGGGCTCCGCTGCCGCCGCCGCCGCCGCCGCTGCTGCTGTCGGCGCGCAGTCCGTCCATCTCCCAGCTCGCTGCTTTGCTCATGGCCTTGCACATCGCGGACGGCGGCGGCTCGGTCCCCGGCCGGGCATGATGCAAATGGTTATTTGCCTCCAACAGGTTGGATCCTGGCGGTACGTTTATAAAAACGAAGTCCAGGTTGGGAGGGGGGACGGGGGTGGGGGCGGCCGGCTCCAGATTAGTTTGCCGCAGGCCGGGGGGCTGCTCATAGGCTGCTGTCGAAACATGTGACCCTCCCGCTGCCCGTACTGCCCCTTTCGCCTAGCAGCCCCCCGGTTCGCACCGGCGGAGCCCCCCCCCCCCCTTCCCACCCCCGCCCCGCCGCCGAGCTCCCGCCCCGCCGCGGCCCCGGCGCTGGGGAGGGGTTGGGCGGACGGGCGGCGGAGATGCCCCTGCGGGCCAGCCTCGCCCCCGCCGCTTTCATCCCCTCTTTCCTCCTGCCTGCAGCTTCAAAAGGGCCAGGGAAGGACCATGAACCTCCGCTGGCACTTTTGAAGCCGCAGGCATGGGCTCTGGTCGAAGGCGAGGGCAGAGATCTGACCGGATCCCCGGGGAAGCCTTCCCCAGCTCATTGCTGTGTTTGCGGCAGGGTGAAGAAAACCCCAGCGCGGTTTTTGTATCCCATCCTCCACACCTCCCTCCTTCCCGGACATGTATGGAGTAGGAGGGCTTTGTTGTGGGGAGAAGGTATCCCCGGCTCCACTGAGCTCTCGGTCCATAGGAGATCCCTCCTTTAGCCCCCCCCCCCCCCCCCCCCCCGATGTCGCTACCAGCCAGGAAAAGGCACCAGGGCTGTGTGCAGCACAAGATGCTAAACCTGGCATTCATTAGATGTGGCTTTTATACCCTTGCAGTGTCAGTCCGTGTCGTGGTAAGGCAGACTAGTTAAATCGCAGCATTTGCTTGTGCTGACGGCTGTTCTGGTGGTGACTACCCAATGCTGTGGCAAATCCTTCTGTCGTCTCTCTAGACTCTCCAGCTGGGTCGAGATGGAAGTTGCAGCAGTGCGAAGAGCTCGAAATAGAGAAAGCAGAGAAGACGAGTCCCTGCCCCTCTGGGCCGGCCTGTCGCTCCGCGGTTGTGTATTACAGACATTTAGACCTGTCTGCGGCGGGGAGGGCAACAAGTTACGGCAGCTCCGCTGGGAAAGTCAGGGAAACTTTTCGCTCTCTGAAAAAAGTAGAGCTGGGGCCGTGTTTGCTGTCTCGAAGGAGGCTCAGGCGCAGGAGAGAAGAAGCAACTGCCGTAGAGGTGAAACACAGTGCTGACAAGATCTGGGGTCTGTGAGTGACTTCTCAGGGCAGGCGGTGGGCATCCCCCTGACTTCTGGGCTGCCGCGGGCGCGGAGGGGACTATCAGTCTAGTAGCCGTCGGCAGTTTCTGGAAGCCGGGTGGAATGACAAAGGGTGCACATCAACAACCGGATGGCAAACACGTTCTAGAGTTCTAACCACTTAACTGCTATTAATCTTTCATAATCAGCTGAGTGAGCCAGACGTGATTAGGTGTTTCCCTCGGTTATAAATGGAGTCAGTATTTACTCTCAGAACATGAAACCATATATAATTAGGACACTTTGTAGAGGCACAAGTTTCTCATCCTTTTATTTCCCTGTATGCAGCTTCCTAGTGAAAGCATTGCTAACGCACTGAAGTCTTGAGAAAAGAGAGACTATTTCTCCGGACATCTTTCCATTTGAATTTCCATCTCCCGTTGTGCTTCCCATTGCCATAAATGCAATGAAATTTTCTTTCTCGTCACGACATTTTAAATAAGGCCGACGAAAGAAATGAGCACCTAAAGCTCAGGGATTCGGAGCTTGAGCTCCGAAACATCAAAACAAACCACGGTGCAACTCTATCCAACGACAGCCCCTCGGTGTCCTAGAAAACAGTTTCTTTGAGAGGGTTTACGACAAACAACAATTCTATAATGAGCCGTTTTGTGGAGGGTGTAGAAAACAGCACTGACTTGCACGGCAGGATATTATGCACACGAATAAAAATAATGAGCTCATAAGGCAAAGTCGGATCTCTGGGAGCATCCGCCCATTTTACAAGTGACAGGACACATCCTGCACCCCCGGCCCCAGGGGTAGTGCAGGGCTCCGTGCTGCCGCCCCAACCCCAGTCCGGAGCCACCCGCTGTCCCCATTGCCAGGGCGGGACAGTCCTCACCGAGTTAGCTCAGCTACAGGCAGGTCGATGTGCCGGTGTGGCCGGGCCTCCTCTGCGGACACTACTTGCCTTCCCGCGGAGCCGCTCCGCATTACCTATTGACACATTGCACGGGAATCTGGGTAGCACACGAAGAAGATAGCATCGCTGGCTGCGTTCTGCTCCCGAATAATAATAAGTGGGTTTTGGTTATTTTTGTTTCCCACTCCCTGAAATAATCTCATTTCCTCAGATACATTTGCTATGATTTAATGGAGTTAGGACTCCACTCAAGTTTTAGGACAGTCTTTTATTATTTGCTCTCTGTCTTCCGCCTGGTCTCTCCCAGGAAAAAGTTTTTTTTCAGCTGTTTCAGGAAGTAGCTTCTCTTGTTAGTGTTTATTGCAGGGAGAAAAAAAAAATAGTAAAAGAAAAAGAAGGGGAAAAGGTCTTCCAGGACAAACGGAGAAGGTAAACTAAGAGAAAAAAAATCGGCTTATACTTCCCTCAAACCTTGCCCCGTGCACACTGCGTTCTGTTACCTTTTGACTTGCGTGGACTTTTAATAGCTAAACAGAACAGAAAAACTTTTATTTTCCTCTGCCCGAATTACGATAATGAAAAGCTTTAGCAGCAACGTGTGGAAAAATAAACTACTTTTCCCCTCCAGATCCGTGCCACAGTTTCTCATATCTGTATTTATTTCAGCCTTTAAATTTTCCATTTCGAGCCGGACGGAGAAAATTTTCTCAGGACTCTCTGCGCCCTGGCCCAGACGGAGAGCTGACGGGCGATGGAACATTGCGGGCGTTGAACTTGAGCTCTAAGGTCACGGGCGGTGCTGGCCGCTGCCTGACTCCCACCTCCCCTCTGAGGCCACACGGGGACCTCGGGTACTCAGACCCTGACGCCGACGCGACCTAGGACGAAGAATCGGCTGGGTCGCATTGCGTCGGGAGTAAGGCTTTATCGTTTAAATTGAAACCTGTTTGTGTGCAAAGGCAGCCCCAGAAGACATCATGTAATCATTAAGCCCGCAAAAGGGGATGTCCGCATGGGAAGCAAGGGGATGGACGGTGCTGCCGGACCCGCGTGACTCGGGACACACCGGGTTCGTGCCCTGTACCGCTGCAGGGGTGACATTTCAAGGAGAACCAGGACTGAACAGGAGGCAGACTCCCCGCGGGTGGCCCTGCACCACAATCTGAACCGGAGGGGAGAGTCGGAGCTGAGGGACAGCGGGGTGCGTGCCGAGGCACGTGGAAGCCGGGGAGCTGCACTGCCAGGCGGCCTGCGGCGGGCAGGGCAGGCAGAGCCCGCGGCCCCGCTGCGCAGTGCCACCGCAGCGCCGCCAGGTGGCGCCGCAGAGCCTGCCGCCGGCGACACCGTGGGCTCCGTGTTCCCCCCCGCCCGCTCCGCAGGGTCCGCCGTAGCAGCCCCGCTCCTGCGGCACCCCCCGGTAACCAATGCCCCCAGCCCCGCAGCTCCGGAACCCTGCAGCGCCGCCTGCTCCCCTCCGCGGACACTGTCCCAGAGACCTTGCGCTGCCACGAGTAGCTGCTGGTGCCCCGGGCCCCTGTTGGCAGCCTGCCCCGCCGGGGAGGAGGAATCAGATATTCGTGTCCGTTTTCCCAAGCACGCTCGGAGTCGTGAAAAGCTGACCGAGGTGTTGTTTGGCTGATTTCATACGAACTTCATTTCAATTAGGTTGCGTGACCTCTTTTTCCCAGCTCAGATTTAATAAACGAGCACTGAAATGTTCTTTGATGCCTTGAGTCATAGCTTCCAAGGTAAAAGCGCTAAGACTTTTGGCCATAGGCCTAAGCAGCCATTTAAACTTACAAGAACAACTGAGTAAACAGCGTCTGACAAAACCTCGCATATTTTGGCGGTCTCTGAAACTTCCTCCCCCATTGCTCACTAATATCTCTCTGATGCTGAAGGTTCTTTAAGCCGAGCTGTTGGTTTTGAAGTTCTATAAACATATGTTGAAAGATTTTTAGGCAGTGCTATTGTTGTGGGGGAGAAAAAAAAAAGCACGATAAACATCAGTGCGGTAAATGCCTCTAGTTTGCTGGGAATATAAATATCAGATGACTTGTTTATTAGTGAGCTGACAGTTTGGGGTGAACTGATTAACTGCATGGCAGGGAACAGTTTTGTTACCTCACATCTACTTAGTGGATTATTAACGTCTTTTATAACGTCATTTCCCTTGCATATGAGTGTAACTATATTTTAAGATACACTGTATATAACCTAAGATCAGTATTATTAAAAGGTGCAAAATATAACATAACACTAATAAAGATCATTCACAGCCACACTTGTGTGTAACTTATTTTTCTCACATTGGGGCTTTTCCTTTAGTCTCTACCATCCGCACCGAATAACATAAAATGCGTTCCCTCCTCTTTAGTGGTGCAGTAACATTTCTGGAGTGTAATGTTGGGCCGACTCTGGTTGTGCACATACAAGCACACGAGTGCCTCCGAGATGTGGCATCTCGTCTGCGGTTTCCGAAAGAGCAGGGGGAAAGATGCTCGCCCTGTTACAGCCCTTAAGAAAACAGACGAGGGCGCCAAACGACAGCAATAAACCTGGCCGCAGGCTTCCGCTCCTCCTCCCGCGGGCGCGGCGGGGTAACGGGGGCTCAGAGACCCCGGCCGGCCTGCGAGACACCCGGCTGCCCGCTCAGCCACGCTCGGTGGATGTAGCAGAGGGGACACCCTGCCCTCCGTCCCGCCGGGGGGGCAGCTCAAAGCCGGGAGACGGGGAGCGGCGGGTAGCCTGGGGGTCTACCCTCAGCTTGCGCCTAGCTCCGTTCCCTTCCGCGACGTTGGCGGGGAAGGAAAAGTTATTTACTTT